GTTTGGGATGGATTTTTGGTCATGGAATCATGGGATGGGTTTGGGAATTTGGGAGTGGGTTTTTGTCCCAGAATCATGGGATGGGTTTGGGAATGGATTTTGGTCATAAAATCGTGAAATCAGTTTGGGGATTTGGGATGGATTTTGGTCATGGAATCATGGGATGAGATGGGAATGGGACTGGATTTTGGTCATAAAATCATGGGATGGGTTTGAGGATTTGGGGACAGATTTTAGTCAGAATCATGGAATTGGTTTGGTGATTGGGAATGGATTTTTGTCAGAATCATGGAATGTGTTTGGGGATTTGGGAATGGATTTTGGTCCCAGAATCATGGGATGGGTTTGGGGATTTGGGAATGGATTTTGGTCAGAATCATGGAATGTGTTTGGGGATTTGGGAATGGATTTTGGTCAGAATCATGGGATGGGTTTGAGCATCTGGGGACAGATTTTGGTCAGAATCATGAGATGGGTTTGGGGACTGGGAATGGATTTTGGTCTGAATCATGGGATGGGTTTGGGGATTTGGGAATGGATTTTGTTCATAGAATCATGGAATGGGCTGGGTTGGAAGGGACTCTTTCAGGTCATCTCATCCAACCACCGTGCAAGGAGACACCTCCCACTATCCCAGCTTGCTCCAAGCCCCATCCAACCTGACCTTGGACGCTTCCCAGGGACGGAGAAACCACCAACCTCCCTGGACACCCCGTGCCAGTGTTCCACCACCCTCATCCCAAAGGATGGACCACCCTGATGCCCCCAAGGCTGGCAGAGGCAGGACCTCCATGTCCCCACCTCACCTTTCCTAAAGGGAGTGAACTGGAAGCCGGGCAGGTACCGCCGGAGTTTGGCGTTGCTGGCCGTCTTCTTGAACTGCCCGTCGGCCTTGCTGGGGTCAAACTGGGATGGCAGGGATTAAGGAAGGAAAACGGGCGTTGCTTTGCCGCCACCGTGTCCCGGTGGAGCGTGGGATTCCCCCCCGGAGCCCTCCCGGGTGAAGGATACAAGGAGCTCTCCCTGGAAATCCATGGCCTCTGCCACGGCCTCCGCCGCCTCCCGGATGGACACCTCGTCTTCTTCTCCCACTGCGGGGAAGGACGGGATCGTGGCTGTTCCCTCGTGGAGAGGGGATGGACGGGGGGAGGTCTGAGGGGGGAGGTTCACCTGACAAAATGATGGGCTCCACCTCGTCGTATTCCCGCAGGACCCAAAGGAAAAGCCGGGCCAGGTCCTGGGGGGAAGAGCAGACAACTCCTGGGGGGGCCACTGCTGTTCCCAGTGTTCCCATTCCCAAGGAACCCAACCCAGGACAAACCAGGTGGGCTCAGACTCCTCTGGGGTCCCATTCCAGCCTTTCCAGCCCCATTCCCTGCTTCCCAAGGCCCCACACCCCAAGGAGTAGATGAACTGTCTCTTGGCTTTGCCCTCTCATCCCAAGGGAAACCAACCCTAAGGATGGCCCAGGCAGGCTCAGACCCCTCTGGGGTCCCATTCCAGCCTTTCCAGCCCCATTCCCTGCTTCCCAAGGCCCCACCCACCAGGGAGTAGATGACGAATTGTCTCCTGGCTTTGCCCTTCCAGCCCCATTCCCTGCTTCCCAAACTAGGGAATAGTAGATGAACTGTCTCCTGCCTTTGCCCTCCCATCCCAAGGGAAACCAATCCCGAGGATGGCCCAGGACAAACCAGGAGGACTCAGACCCCTCTGGATCCCATTCCAGCCCCATTCCCTGCTT